AGACCACAGGAGGAGGGCCCGAGTATCGTATGAAGTGCTTGTGGCATGTTGTTGGTACAATTATATTAGGGGTGACCCGCACTACACTGATAGTGTCACTACCACCCCACTTCCCACTGACTGCCACCCCTTGTTCTAGTCCCAGCAGTTAGGTTCCAGCCAGTGAGGGTTCTCCATGGTCCACCACTCCAGCTACGAACTGGTAAGTGGCAAGGGTCTTCCATGCTCCACTTGAAGAAAAAAAGGGTAGAAAAAATTCACAGTGGGGAAACTTGAGGAAAATTTCTGGATCCCCATCAGTTTTATTTCAACGAGAAAGTTTTTTTTTATTAGAAACAGTACCAACAGGTGACAGCAGAACCTAAATGGAAAAGCCAGCAAACTTAAGACAGAAAAGCAGGCAGAGCACCCCCTGGTTCTAGCTTTTTCCATGATAGTTCCTGGAATAGGTACAGTCTGGATCGGACAGTAGTCAGATATTAGAATATACCATGCCGATACCCCAGTTGGTCTTGCAGAGCATTCCATCTCTACAGTGGGTACATATGGAGTTAGGACAGAAAGTATAAGTACCTTCCATTATCCTGGCTCAATGAGAAAGTTTTGGAAATAAGTGTACCCCGGAGGGCACCACCTACCACTTGGAAGGATCCTGTAGTAAATGCTATAAACCATAAGGGAATATACTCACCTGTCTAAAGATAGTGGGTAAACTGTAGGATCGTTAATGGAGGCAGGCAGTGACCTTCAGTAGATGAGACAGCCAGATGGTGAAGAAAGTGGACAATGAAGTTATATGATATAGCCCACATGCCAGTTTGAAAGATCTTGTCCAGTGGTCATCAGAAACGAGTGGCAAGAGAATGAAAGAGATGATGAACTTGATGGGACGAAATGCATACCATCTGCGAGCAGCTACACCCTATGAGTAGACTAAACATTGGCAGACCCTACCTATAAAGGTAGAAGGAGATTTGTCCCTGGAGGAAGAGGACTCCCAGGAAATGTAGAGTTGAAGACAAAAATCTAAAAGAGAAAGGAAGATGTGTCCTTCCCAAGCAGCTGAAGATTTTGAGAGCAAAGACCAGTCTGGAGAAATAAGAATATAAGAACAATGGAAAGAGGAAGGAGAATGAGTTGGTAGCATAAAGATCTGAATGACAGCAACCTCAGGTGAGAAGTAAGAGGAATGTGTTTAAGGAGAAAAGTGGTAGAAATTGCAGGTTGCCAATGGCTCATAGGGGGCATGGATAAGAGCATGCAGGAAGATACTGAGGTCCCAGTCGAGTATGGGAACAGGGCATGCGTGTCCATGGAAAAGGAAGGACTGGAACAAGGTTGAAAGAAAAGGGGATGAAACACCTTGCATTATCCAATAACTGGACATGTTGAAGACAAGCCACCAAAAAACCAGCAAAGGATACAGCTGAATCCTTTTGAACAGCCAGATGAAAAGAAGGATGGGCCATTGTTGAATGCTATGCCCCTCACATGGGTAGATGGCCTGGAATAAGAAAGGAAAAGACTACCAGATTGTAAAGTTGGTTTAACAAGAAATGAACTGGACAGATACAAATGTGAAGGTGTAAGGACAGGAACCCTCGATGGAAAGGAGACAGGAGATGTTGAAGCAATAGAGTATAACTGACAGGGGAAGAGGGGGTCGGGTTGTTAGGTGGCACAGAAGAGGGAACCCAGGTTAAGCCAGCAAATGGGGTAACACCAAGTGAACTTGACAAGGACATCTGTAGTCAAGGCCAGGACCAGAGGTAAAGAATGGAAATGTGGGTGAACATTATAACAAGTATAAGATGGAGAACAGATTATCATAAGAGATGAAGCATGAAATTGAGAAAGTAGTCAAGGCAACAATGAGTGGAATCCCTAACAGAGCACCCCCAATGGAAAACTGGGAGAGAAGAGACCATCTGCAGGTGAAAAAACCAACCCATTGAGAATTGGCCCATTAAAGAAGATCCTGGGCATAAAAGCAAGGGAGTACTGAATCGGATTCCCCCATGGTGGTTAATTTAGGAAAAACCAAACAGTCCTTAGAATGGAACATAACGAAATGAACACCTAGGAGTGGTAAAAATGGTATCATATCCTACAGTCTACAAGAAGTTACAGCTCATGGATATGGAAAGAGAACACATCCTGGGTCCATGTGTTAAATGTAAAAGTGTCATTCAGGAATGCTCCTGAACAAGAGGGGGAAGCATGGGTGAAGAGGTGTAGGTCCAGTTTGGGTGGAAGTAATAAAACACACATGGTAATACGCGATCAGTCTAGTCACCCATACAAATACTACAATAAAGGATGGGGCAGGAGAACGACTGAGGTCAAAGAATCATGTGAGGCATCCTTCTAACACCCGATAACCAAATGAAAAGGTGCGTATATGTGTGTGACTATGAAGCCACAGTCACCAAACACTAAACCTCTTTTGCAACTGTGTATTACGGCACATAGCACTTAATGTCAATATCATTATATTTCATTCCAAAAATAAAACTAGAGATGAAATTGTTCGTACCTTGATAAGAACTTTCCTAAACTGTTATTTAATGTAGTTATTTGTACTTTTGAATAATTCACTTGCAAGGTAATTTTTATATGAAGTGTATGTAAAAAATACTATTTTTAGCTGCAGCGTTGTGGATCATAGAATGATTCTGAGTTTGTTTGTTTTTATTTCAAGCACAAACTTTTAGCTCATAGCTCCATCATTTCTTGACTGATTTGAGATGTAACTACAGTTTTGACTCAGGTGGTCAAACCCTTCCGAATGTTATATATTTTACCATGCCCAAGGTCTTGTAGATTAATTTACTCTAATCCTGCCTAAAGGAATTTCAATTTGGGGGTAGGTAGGCTGGTAGAGATCCTGATGAGTATTAAAACTGAATCTCGTATATGCATGCCCCATGCTTGGTATTGCTGGTGTAAAAAAATATAGCTAATAAAAAGGAAAAAAAAAAAAAGGTCTCATAGATTAATTTACTCTAATCCTACCTAAGAGAATTACAAGTGCCATGTCTATTGATGATTCCCTCTAGTTTATCTTACAGTTCCACATTTCATTTGCAATATCTCTGTAACCTCACACATGAATATCAAGTTTTTTAAAGTAAATGTTTATACTAAATTTTCCATTTTCTCTATCATATAACTACTAAATCTACCTGTTATAATCAACATACAGTGTAATGAAGTGTTTAAAATTAACAAATGGAAATATGTACATACCTTTCAACTCTTCATAGAAATTCACTAAAAGTTTTTTTTTCACTTATTGTTTATTTTTAATTTTCCTTTCCATTCTTTATCTTTTATCATTTATGCCAAAACATCTCATTATGGCCCTTGGGCCTTTTTACAACTCGTTAGTCTGAGGGCAAAATATTTTGCACATGACCTAGGTTTAGATTTGACAAGATACAAGACAAATAAGTATAATAATAAAGAAAGAAAACAAATAAAAAAACCTATAATTAAATATCAAACACTTTTCAGTAAAGGTTTATACTTATAGTTGGAGTTTATACTTCTCACATTTTCACACTAATTTTCTGTAGTAATTATATTGTTAGGAGCTGACTTAGAAACTAGATGAAACAAAATGAATAGTACTGTGTCTTTTTCAGTATGGATCACTAAGTACCAAAGTAAAATTCCTGAGAGTTTCTTCTAATCTTTTCACACCTATTTCTTATGTTTATTCTATTGTTAGCAGCTGAAGTAGAAACCTGTTGATTATAAAGCAAGGAATTGCCACTCTCTACTTAATTTGACTCAGTCAATATCAAATAAGCTCATGCGGCGCAATACCCAGAACTTTCCCTGCTTTGGAAACAAAGTGGGGTACGATTTATCAACTTGTTAACAGTATAATGGTTTCAACAACAATTGTCTAAAGTATTATAAAATGTTTCTGTTATAACTTTGTAGAAAGTCTGGGCCAATCCAATAAGTCGATAAGCAGATGTTTCCTACAGAGTCTATTCAAATCCCAGCTCCAAGAACAAAGTGATGTAGAATTTATCATCTTCTTTACAGTACAGTGGTTGCAACAAGAATTGTCTAAAGAACTTTATAAAAGTAAAAGTGAGAGAAAATATTTATGATATGGCTCTGTACAAAGTTGTATCTGATCCAATCAACCTGTTAAGTATTTGGATGTTAGTTAACCTCCTGGGTGGTTGGGATTTAGTGTTAGCAAAGGTGTAAAAAAGTGCTTATGAACATCCTGTTTTCTATGTTACCATGCTTACACAGTAACCAATAAATGTGTAGTTTTCAGTAATATAAATACGACCCATTTTGGTTGAGCTAATATTTTTGGCTTAGCCTTCTTGCTTGTCACTTTAGAAACAAATTATTCAGTGATTACCTTTTGCTTGAATGTACAATAATATGTGCTAAAACTTCTCCATTTTTTCTGATTTTTAAGTTTTCACTGAAACATTTTCTTATAAATTTTTCATGATCTATACACTTGTATGTAAAGATGTTCCTTTCGATGTGTTAAGTTCAGTTTATCAGTGTTAAAATTATTTCCTTGACTTGTATAAGCCATTCCATCTTTCTCAAATTACATAAATAAACTGTTCCCATATTCCAAACTCTTTAGTTTTGTATACTTTGTTTTTATTGTACCTTAATGTAACTGAGTAGAAAAAACAAAGTTCCAAAAACAGTTATACTCATCTATAATAAAACAAAGTACAAATCTCTTTCTCTTAGCACTAGTGTACCAGTATTTTATAAAATATAGTGTTTTGGTTGCCATACATTACGTGTGTGTGTGTGTATAGATTATTTCAAATAAATACTTAAATGTTAGTTATTTTTCTTCAAACATAGAACAGTAAATAAAAAATATTTGGAAAACAAAGATCTCTACTACTTGTGATGCTATGAAGTCCTTGTTTGCATTCATGAGTCTGAGTCGTACTTGCTAATGATAGTCGTAAGCCTCTTCCAAATTCACATGTGAAGATGGAAAATTAATTTTTGTATACTTTATATAAGCATTTTAGAATACCAAAACATTATAAATTACTATACTGGTACCCAAAAAATCCACTGTAATTTATCAGGCTTCCTAACTAAATTGTATTTAGAACAAAAAAAATAAAATTTCTGTTCAGTAAACAGCCTTGATTGTAATAATTAAAACTTTCCAACAATATAAGAGCTTTTCTCTCATAAATAACTTAGGAAGAGTAACAGAATTACATAGAAGAAATGTATAGCTTTTGATATACAAGTTATATATAAAGTTATTGGTATACAAAATTAGACATACATAAACAAGTCTTCTCAAATGATGAAGTGGTAGGCAGAGCCAGTATGGTGGATTCACTAAATATCATAAACATAAAAGGCAAGAGGTCCTTATTTTATATTCTAGCTTGCCAATATTGGAAATTTGAGTTTCTAATTTGTAAGAAACTATAAACTTTGTGGGTGTCATAAAAATGTAAGCTGACCAAAACCAGAAAGCAACATACCACATGACACACAAAAATCAATATTTAGCCCATTTTTTACAATAGTTACTTTCAAGTTAAGAAATTAACTTATGCATAATACTAATATTTGAATTATGATTTACAATTTGATACCAAACTCATAACATACATTTATAAAATAATAGTTCAATTAAATTTTGAATACGTCTAAAAATGAGATGACATGCCCTCCAATCCAACCCGTGTCCACAGGGTTAACTGTTGATAGAGTATAGTGTAAACTGAGCTCTTTCTAATGACTATATACACTTGTGTCAACTAACTACATGTACATCGTAGATCTCATGGCAAAGTATAGAAGGTGAGCCCTGCAACTGTCAAGAGTTTGAATATTTATATCTTTTTCCCTGACAACCCAGCTTGCAGACTTTAGATCTTATGTGACAATTAGGTCAAACATATGTACTTAGTGTGTAAAAACTCCTGTACATACCAGCTTGTATGTCTAAGAGAAAAATGGTGCTAAAGTTGAGATTTTTCAAAGCATGTGGATCATGTGACATGAAAACTGCAGTTTAGGTATTTTCTGAAAGTTCCCCTTGAAACAAAGTAATTAAAACTTAGATGACATAAAAATTCTAATTTTAACATACAATATAATACTAATTTCATTTTCATATATAGTAATAATTAGAAACCCTAATTTTGATTAGTTGATTAATCAATTATTTCATGTTACACTAATCAATATAATCACCATGCTTTAATCTGCATACTGTTAAAATTACATCAAGAGAAAAGCTCACTGATAAGTATTTATTAGATAAATTTCAAAATCAAAAATTATCACACTAATAGTAAAAAAACAATATTGTTAAGAAAAATAAAATATTTCTTAACATAACAGATGTTTTACCTGATGTTTCGGCAGAATGCCCTTGAAGTAATTGGAACATGTTACCACAAGCTTTAGCAACAGCTGCCATCTTAGCGATGATGGGAAGGTTATGGATCACAAAAGAGACTTCATTTTTCTGTACTTTAGCAAGATTCTGAGCATGACCTAGCAGACCAAAACCAGTGACATCTGTTGCACCATGAGCATTATATTTATGCATGAGCCTAGCACCTGGAAGTCAAGCATACACATTAGCAGAATTAATTACTTATAAATGCTTAAATATACAATAATGGAAATAACTATGGAAAGAGCAAATAAAATTAGTATAAAATGCAAATGTTAAGGTATCCTCTACTGCATGAAAATGAACTGCATCAATGAGATAAGACCACACCAGCATAATGCCTATTCAAGCACAGGCAGCCATGGTATTCTAAGCAATGGCAATGGATTCTTTCATGGTTCCCAGGACAAAAATGCCAAAGGAGAAATGAGTGGTCAAGGCTACTTTATGAGGTAGTATATGTTTCAGTGGGAACTATGTGGAAACTAAAAACTAGTACTTCTGATGGCACTCTGATCACTAACAGATACAATATGATTATTAGCCATCATTTCATTCCCTCAGGAATAAGACCTGTTGGCAGGAATCACAGGTGCAACTACCTATTTTACTGGTTGGATCAATTCAAAAAACCCAAAGTCTGATGATGGTCCCCATAATAGTTAACAATAATTAAGGATCCCCATTTAATTTTTTTTCCCACAGGCCCCATGAGCCATAGTTGTACTACTGGCAAGGATGCATCTTCCAGCAGAAGAGTGATACCAAGCATTTAGAAAATAACTATTAGCGAAAGGGGAGTTGAACATGTGCAACCACAGATTAGGCCACACAAAGTCCCAAGATGAATATTATCAAGTCTTATGCATAGATTATTGGGTTAAGTCATAACCAAACAAACTGGTTGAAATGTGAGGAGTACTGCAGGATATTTGGAATGATATTTCACAATAAACTGTTAAAGTTACAGAAGCAAAAAATCAAGGTATACTGCTCTTTATAACCCTTCATACAAGTGATGTGTGTGGGTGTGTATTTATATATAATAATTAATAAAAAATCAAGCAAACAAATGTAAATCCAATTGTGTGGGGTAAATGTGTAAGGAATTGTAAACAGTTGTTACTGTTGCTTTCATTAGCAGCACCTAAAGAACAGTAGAATTTAATTTAGACCAAAATAATTTAGTATGTTCTAAGTGTATGTGTATAGTTAAAAAGCATCTTCTCTTCCTGAAAGATATAGCAAGTGATCAATGAACAAAAATCATGTTATATTATACACTTAAATACTTTAATGAAGCTAAACTCCTCCTCTATTTGTTCCTCTGTGTTACAATTTTCTTCACTTACAAATACAGAGGTTTACCCCTCCTCAGCACACCTTTGAAAAGTTATGTTGTGGAACACCAGGGGTCCAACTAGACCCCTAGCACAAAATTACCATTACAGTAAGCTCTGGATTGAAATTCCAAAAAAACAATTGCATTACAAATTTTATTAGGGTTAGCATGCAACACGAACAACATAAAAATATATGTATTCTAGAGGAAATATGTAGACAACTCAAGAAATAAAAATTACATTGTTCCTCAGGATACAAATAAGTAGTATTAAACAATTCCTCATACAAAGTATATCAAAAAAATGCCAATGTTTTGTTATATTATTCACCAATGTATAATGAGGTTACCACAATACTGCAAAATTCAACTCAAATAAAACTGAAAGTGAACGTTGTGCTTCACCTTGGGTTCAATCAGACCCCATCATAAATGTATTCTTATAGTAGGCTATAGATTTAAAATCCAATAAGCAGGTTATTTACAACAATTATCAAACAAAGTTTCTATAAAATAGGGCATAAGCAGTGATTACAGAGAACACTTGTTGAAAAATGAGAAGCACAATGATGTTATAAGCAAACAGACACGACGATACTGTACTACTTTGATGGATTATTCTCTATAACAGCCTATATAGTGAAATAAATGTTCAGAAATTTGTTTCGTATGATACACGGCAAACTGCATGTATATTGATGGTCAATGATAGTATGTGGTCGGCATGGACCCCACATAAATATTAGATTATAGCTACTTACTCTGTTTACCTGTTTCGAAAAAATTGTCATATTCATCCAGGATTTCTGCTTAACAATTACTTGAATTGATATAAATTTGTAATGATTATGTAAAAAGATATACACCCAAGAAAGTCATTGGCATCCATGTGGACCTCAGGTATGCTGATTAGGGTTAGGTATGTTACATTAAAATGATTTTGGAGCCTCACCACATCATTACAGTACATGTCCAATGATGCTATATCTAAAGGCCATTCATTAGCACAATAACTCCGCAGCAAAGTATCCATTACAAAAGACTCTGTCATAAGGTTGTCATGTCCAAAGCACACATCCCCTACTTGTTTTCAATATGCTATTCCATATAGCATACAAAAATAATGGTTTCCAAATGCCCATTTTAACAGCCTGAACAGCATGTCTTCATGTGGAATAGCATGAATACCAGTTTAATTTTCAAGCTACTTGAAATAAGTGACAGTTGAATGGGAGATTTGACTGGAATCTCTATCTTGGAGAGCCTATACCCTGTTGGCTCATTTCCATACAAGGTTGGTATTTTTATGTGATACAAAGCTTCCAGGACATAGCTCTAATAATTAGTAGATTACATTAAATACTATGAACAGTACAGTATATCTTTATTCTGGTTATGCAATATGTATTTGAAAATAATGCACAAAATATCATAAGTTGCTGAGAAGAAACAGATTTCACAAGTAACATTTATGTTGAATGGAAATAAAATGATGAACAATATCAATATATTTTGCTATCTTATAACAAAAAGAGCTTGAGGTATCACAACATTGACTTTTTCATTAAGAAAACAAGTAATTCAACAAAACCAGGTAACAGAAACAACAGGATAGTGGTGTGCCTAAGTGAAAAAGACAACAGGATAAACAAGGAATAAATTTTATAGAAGCAGTGAAATATGAAAATAGAGCTTATTAAAAATTCCTAAGAAACAAATATCATCAAAATGGCCTAACAGTCATGGGATGATAGTGACTTCCATAAACCATAGATATTATAACAAATATTCCAATACATATAACAACTATATTTGTTTTGAAACTGTGTTTTAAAGACAAGTTTACATAAAGTTATAATAGGTTTCTAAAACTATAAAGCACAAATCATCAGAGTAAACTTAAGTTACCTACTTTCATCCATTGTACAGTACTAATAGATATGTTTATGATTTATGAATATTTTTACACACATTCCAAGAAAACTAAATTACCAATGAATTAGATATAGTCATATTAACCATAATGTTCACCATAAATGTGATATAAAACGTTTTTCTTTATTCATTAAAGTACATCTCTACATATTCATTATCTAATGATTAATATGCAAATTGAATGAGACATACTTGTTCTATTCAACCTTGCCATGCTGTCCATAGCTCGCTGGTAAGCTTTTCGTACATCTTCCTCACTCACCACAAGTTTGATTCTATTCCACCTGTCCTGTTGTTCAAGCCACTGGTAAGCATTAACAGCTACTTGGGTGCCTAAAGGCTTGGTAAGCACAAGTACATCTCCAATTACTGCATCATTAGGGCTACAAAAAGAAATATTTATATGCAAAAAATGCAAACACTAATACTTACAAAATGTTTAAATGCACAAATTAAGCAGCTGTTATTACTGAAGAAACATTTTTTGTTAATGAGCAACACATAAGAAAGTGCCAAAAGCACAAGCCATCCATGACAGAGGGGACACGTATTATTGAAAAGTGAATAACAATGTAAAGATAACTAGCAGGCAGCAGCATATAAGTAGTATATGGTAGTATTATAGAGCAGTTTTAAGCTAATACCAAGGCATCTAACTTTGAAATGCATGTTGTTATTGCTACAATGCATGCAAGAAACATTGCTTCATTGAATGCAGGAGAGAAAATGCAGGGTGACTGAAAACAAAGTGAATAACAATGTAAAGATAACTAGCAGGCAGCAGCATATAACTAGTATATTATAGTATTATAGAGCAGTTTTAAGCTAATACCAAGGAATCTAACTTTGAAATGCATGTTGTTATTGCTACAATGCATGCTGACTGAAAACAAATTGATACATGATGTTTCTTCCTGCCAAATTGTTAATTAATGTTATGACCAAGTCCAACAGTACAGCATGTAATGAATGGCCTAGTAGTTTCCTGATAACAGCTCTGACAAAAGGCCAAAAAATTGCAATAAAAAACAAAATTTAATACAGTAAATGATGTAATTTGTTTAATTACAGCATGGTCCAATTTTTTTTTCACATCCCCATAAATCTTAGAAACACATTTATTGCCTATAATATTTTGGGATAGGTGAAATGAAATACATACAATTTTTAGTATTTTATCAATGTCCTGTTTAAAAATGCAAGATATTTAATTGCATTTAAACAGTGAATTTGCATACATTTTCTTCAAGTGAAATACTTAAGTGTTAATACCACATATTCCTTTTCTAATATGTTGTTAATTTTTCAGCATTAAGTAATGAATATTATGGTCATTTGGTATTGTGAATCAGAACATTTTATGAGATATATGGGCTAAATGGCCAGGTTCTTTCCTAATTTTGAATTACTGCCTAGAAGGATGACAAGCAGTGAGTAGACTAGAACTAGCCACCTATGATGAGATGGCTCTCACTATTATAATGCACCTGTAGTGTGAAAGCATGTTTAGAAGCACATCAATGTGCAAACCTTAGACCTGTTCCACATTCCAGCACACTACTTGACAACACCCACACAAATATGCAAAGACAACTGTGCTGACACATTCTTTTACAAAGCTATATATATATATTACATATATATACAGAAATACCTGAGACACCAAAGAAAATATTGAAAATATCTGACACAACTGAATTAGACATTATAATTATTAGAGTAATATTACAAAATGACAGTTACTTAATTTTATCCAGATAAGTTAGCATTTTAACAACTGATTAACATAAAATTCATTATTGATAAAAAAAACATTACTGCTGGAATAAAATAAAGTATCTTTTATGTCTATATAAAAATACAACAAATTACGGTAAGCAAAATTCAAAACATGGATGTCAAGAATAAAGTGATTTCATGTATGCATTTAACCCCAATATTTAAAACTACTGTCCCAATGAACTATACATGTTGGAATTCTTGAGTGTTGCATCTCTTTCATGTTTTACTTAAGAGTGTTTGTGTTATAATTTATATTAGTATGAATCTATGGTCTTCTTCACAATTTTCTTTTTGAAAAGTTTTCCTAAGACATTAAATGTTGTTGTCTACAGAAACTTTATTATCAAACACATAAAATATGATACATGCTACCTTACCATATGAATGCTTAAGTTTTAATCACATCATTTACTAGAGCTTGAAATGCAAAAATGAAAAGCTTGAAAAGATGTTTAAGTTTTTTCTTAATCAACAAACTAAATGCTTTTAGGAAACTTGTCATAAACATATAATATAAATAATTATAGACTTCTGAGCTATGCAGGTAGTAGAATGTAAATTAATAATATTGTACTTGAATTACCAGTTTCGTATGGTGATTTGATAATAATGGCATATATAGACATATTTAAGTTAATCATATATATATGTATGTACATATTTAAGTTTACCATTAGAGCTGCAGTAATTCAATTTCATGCATATTAAAATATTTTTTGCCATTTAAAGACAAATTTGGAGTAATTCCGTACAATAAAATACCAGAATTTCAGCTATATTTGAAAGCTAGGTTACCACTGGCTAAGATTATGTTCATAAAATTCACAAGTTTTGCTCATTAATTTCTTTGGACCTTGTGTTCTCTCTACATTGCTATTATGAAACAGACTAGACTAGAGTGTGTGATTTTATCTCTGGAAAATAATGGTTATTAAACGTATCCCTGTTCCAAGTTGGGCCAACCAGCCTTGTAACAGTAACTTCTCAGAAGTCAATAAGACCATTGGCTAAGGCAATCTGATTCTTGTTGGTAACAGCTTGAAATAAATCATGTGACATTATCCTAAACCATGGAATATTCTATTACTTACTCTTTTTGTTTTACATACATTTTGGTAAATACATATGATCAAGTATATGCCTATTTCTTTTCTTAATATATCTTATATTAACTTAGGTACTGTTTACTTTTATGACATTTTCATTATGCATATTATTGTACAGATCCATTGATACTGCATTTTTACAAAAGCTTTTGAAAATTGGAATTTTTAATGAAAACAGAATCTTATGCACATGTGGACTAAATGACCATGTAAAGACAATTCATTTTGGATTACCAACCAAGGATAGCAGCAGCTGCCACTGCAAATGCTTTGTTTGGCTCTTTAAACCAATAATGAGATTGACTGTCACTTACAGAGAAACGTATTAAATGGCATCACATCTCGAACCCTGGACCCTATGATCCATATCTTGACACACTAACCCCTAGCTTATGCCTGGAAACAACCTTTTATATTTACTATATTATATTTACTAGTTTTAGACCCTAGGATATATATTAGGCAGCATTTACTAACTTTGCAGCTGTGTTGAATATCAGCAAATCTTGGATGTAGAAGTGCTAGAATCAATCATCAAAAACATGCACTAATGTGTATAGATTACTTGCTAATCTAATATGATACACAATTAAGACCAAAAGTTAACCTGTTAAAGCCTTCATAACCACAGTGCAAAGTATGAATTTGAAAAAAAATTGATACACACACACACACATACATATATATATATATATGTGTGTGTGTGTGCTGAAAGTACATTTAAACAGATGGTTCACGAATCACAACTCAAGCTTACAAGCACTTAGAACTAGTAAATTAGTGGAATTTCTTAACTGATTAATTGTAAGGCCCATTAATTGATTATTCTCACACAAAACTTGGATAGTTGCAATAACCTGAAACAATAATTTTGGTTAGTTGATTATTTTCATTTACAAGTTCTTTAAAATTTAGATACAAACAGATTTTAATCATTTTTTTTTTTTATGTAATTAAAAGTTAACATTCTCAGACTTACAAAACTGTACAATAGAGTTACATAAATTTACCCAAGACTTGCCAGGAATAAACTGCTTTTAAATCAAATCAGGGGAAACAATTGTGGACAAAAAAAGTCCAGAATGCAGTTCCACTGGTGATTTTGCTTACAACTATAGGCTCAGATTAGAAGAAAAAACAAGTCAAATTTTTGTTGTACTTACTTTAGCCAGGTAGCTATGTCTGTAGCAGTCAATTTATTTGTCCAACCTCTCAAGTCATAATCTTATGCATAATATGTGATATCAGTGCAAGTTACAGAAAGTCAAAATCTGAAAACACTTTTCTTGTTTTATGCCCTTTAGTTCTTCTGTTCCAGGTTAATCATGTATTCATTTAGTTTTGTGTTTTTTGTACATAGTTTAGAAGCTTTTTTGGTATTTATAGATGTCTACCAAGTTCCTCATACATGTGTGTATGTATGTATATATAAACACTTGCTCTTAATCTTATTATTTGCTGTTGACAAGTATTTTCAAAAATTAAATTTTTCACATGTTATAATAGGATATCAGAAGAGCTGATGATAAATGGAATCTACTAATTGTAGGGCTCATTCATAGATCACATTCAATTTATCAATTATTCTCATGTAAAACTTAGATAGTTGGAATAATTGAAAACACCAATTTCAATTAACTGATTATTTTCAGGATATTAATCAGTATAATTGTAGTTATGATTAATCATTTGTTAGAATAATCAAAGACACTAGTTTTGATTAGTTGATTATTTGCCAACATTATTTAAGCGACACTAATAGACATAATTGCAGCTCATAGGTATCAATTATATTGATTTAATCAACCCAACTAGAATTTTCTATGAAACTTAAGATTCATTTCCAATTACTTAACGATCAACAAAAAATTAAAAATAACTAAAGGGTTAAATAAGAGTAACCAAATGTTTCCATGAAATGGAAAATTTAACTATTCAAGTACACAAGAGAAAGAAAAAACACATATATCAATGGGCTTAACTATATTTTATAATAAACAATCTCATACACATGCTAATAAACTTTATAGTCATTTTAAAAATAATCTTATGGTATAGTGACAGAATAGTACTGTAGCTTTTATATTTTCTAGTAAATTTTGATCATTAGTTGATTACTTCTTCAAGAGTTTGTTAGCTAAGTTAACAATCCATGCTTGTAATAGGCCCAATCCTTACTGAAGATCATTCATGACAATAATAATTGTTTTGCTACCCTCTTAGCTTCCACATCGTGCATGTTCAAAGATGTATAAATGGCAGGCCCACATTAACAGCTGTAGCTTGTATAAACACGTCATCAGGTAGCCTTCAACCCTGGGCACGAAATATATTGCTTCCATCCTCAACTAATATAAACTAACACAACTGTAAAGTGTTACACATATATAAAATTGTTCAGAAGTGTGTAGCCAAGACTTATGAATGCAGCCAAAATCATACATTTGATCATGTCCAATAAGGCAGTGCTTTTAGCTAGTACTATACATCACAAGTGCAGACTTAATAGCAAGAATTAGTTTTGGATATTTGTGCAAAGCTACTAGACAGTTACCTGCAGTATCTGTTCCTGACTTTGATCTGATACACAAGTGTGAAAGCAGCTAGTCAACAGTACCCATTGACAACAGTAAAATTTAACCATCTCTCTTGTAACACACCCTTGGATTTACAGTCCAGCTTGATTATACATATATGCATGCATGTGTGAAAGCAGCTAGTCAACAGTATCCATTGACAACAGTAAAATTTAACCATCTCTCTTGTAACACACCCTTGGATTTACAGTCCAGCTTGATTATACATATATGCATGCATGTGTGAAAGCAGCTAGTCAACAGTACCCATTGACAACAGCAAAATTTAACCATCTCTCTTGTAACACACCCTTGGATTTATAGTCCAGCTTGATTATATATATATATGCATGCGTGCGATGTCACTTGTAAAACACAAACCAATTTTATAATTTTTTATACTCCCAGGAGTCATAACAAAATACAAATTATTACCTCAAATCAGTTTAAATTGTTTCTAAATATAAAATATGTATTTTATTTTTTCAAGACTTTTTTGTTTACTAAAAACATCAGTAGTTTGTCATTACACAAAACATTAGTATCCTGTTACTTTAGTAAGTACAGATACAAAAATAATAGTATTTTACAATAACTTTTGAATACACTTAAAGATTTTATACAATAAAGTAAAAAGTCACTTTTGATGAATTACTGCAAAAGTGTTGAATATATTCATTTCAAACAATCACAGCATAATCTTTATAAACATACTCGACTTTATAGTTTGAAAGTGTAATGCAGACAAACACCATAGGAAAAATGTTCAAAGATTTTTTACAAATCATTCAGCCCTTAATAATTCATTATTAATAATGATAATTAATAAAAGTGGGAGTCTTTATAAAAACCCAGTTTATTGCATTTATCCATTAAGTTAATCTCTTCCTCAGGAAACTTGAATTCAATTCCAAATGCTTTTTTTAGAAGACTTAACATTCTCACAACTAATAATTACTAGTTTTTTTAATAAATGTTTTGAAAACTTTTGAAGCACTCACATAATAAACTCATTTGGCTGACAAACACTTGTAGCAACACCACCTATTGTAAGCCAAGGATTCAACACAGACTGACCACCCGTAACATTGCAACCAGCTTCATAGGCACAATCCTAAAAAAATAAAAGATTACTAAAAACAGTCCTAAATAGTATGAAAACTAAATTAGGTGTGAGAAATAGCTCCTAAAAACTGAAACAAGATAATTCTTTGGCTACATTTTCACAACCTATTATAAAAATGTTTCATCATTAATTGTTCTCCTCAGTCATCACTCATTAACATTAATGCCAGAAGTATAGTTAATTAAATGCATATTTGATGATCTATGAATAAATTATGATAAGTTTGGTGATTTAATTGGTTTACAACAACAGGATTCTGTTTTTGCTCAAAAGGACATAACACATGGCATAATCACTTAAAACTAGCTGGTCAATAAAATTGTTTTCCCAAACTTCCTGGATGGAAATTAAACCTTATTAAATATTATCAAGTGGTCTAGAACATTAATCCCCATTAAAATACCCATTATAAAACAATAATGAATGATGAATTCTGATATCTTACAATCACCTAGTTAAAGCTAGAATAAATTTTTTTAAAGTCCACTGAAATAACACTTGTGTAACTTTGTGAAAAACAGAATGTTTCTAAAGCTTTAGCACACAAAGATGTATGCCAAATATCAAAATGTTTCCCACTTTACATGCCTATATTTTGTATATCATACTTTTCTTAAAGTACAATAAACTCTAAGAGCCCTGAATGTGTTCATTCGACAGACCTAGCAGATATTTTTAAACACTTATGTCTGTCAATTTAACAGACCAATCTTATGGCTGGTGCCAGTAAAAACCAATTAATTAAACTACAGAAAACTTATGATTAACTTTCTAAAGAGTATATAGTTCCAGTATAGTAAAATATATTAATTTTATATATATATATATATATGTTACTTATATGAATTCTAAGCTTTGGAAATTTTAAAGATTTCTTGGTGAAATGTTTTTTTAAAAAAATTAATTAAAATTATTTCATTTTCTCCAAGATTTTACTTCCTTCTTTTGTGTTCCTACACCTTTATAAATGTTTAAAATAAAGTGTTAGTTTTATTATATTATAAATGTCGTCTTTGTTTTTAATCTTAAGATCACCAACCATAGTTGTAATGTTTATGATCACAGACATAAAATAAAAAATTATTTAGAATACCAGAAAAGTCAAGCCTTGTTTTCATATACTTCAATATTTTTAAGCTTGTTTCACATTAATTTATATTATTTTTTTCTTTTCAATGCTTTCCTTTGTCTAATGTAGCTCTACTCAGCTGATAAAACTAATACAAAGACCATGTGAAAGACAGTGGCCTTCTCATTAATTTCTTATAGTAGAGTACAAACCCATTTAAGTACAGCCTTGTGGGAGTAGGCTGTAACTAGCTTGATAAATCATAATGAGAAAGATATAGCTATTCTAATACAATTTCTAATATCTGAACTTGAACACATTTCAATGAAAGAACAATGTAAATACAACTTGATGTTTAAATGCCCTTTGAAACAAGATTATTTTAGAAAGCACATTTAAATGCACTTTCATGAAACATGTCTTGCACTTCAGTCTGACCAGATGGTTTTCTGTTCACAAAAGTAAACAGTCATAAATTACAAAAGTCTTTAAATTAAACTTGCTCAAATCACAAAATTTCCATTTAAACCTTTCCAAGTGGAATAAAAGCTGGTTTAGAAATTCAAGTACTTTCTTATGTTTGCACATATCTAAGGGGTGCTGGTATTCAGGGAAAGCTGACATATGTATAGTTGAAATGCTATACAACTTATTCAGTCATAAAAGAGTTAGAAGTCCTTACTGCATGACAATCATGTTCTTTTGTTGAAAAAAAAAAATCATAAGTTTATTTTCTGATGTTAGGCTGTTTTCTTCAAAAAAGTTCAATTTAAGATTAAACAGACAACAGTAAGATAGTGGAAAAGAAAATTACTAGCCCAGCTCACAATTACACAATATTATCACCAATATGACTTTGTCAATTACATTTTGGTTTAAATCAAACAGTGAAGTTATTCTAAAATAAATTAATTTTGTTTATTAAATAACAAAAAAAAACATTCACTTAAAACCATTTCAGTTATCTTTAAACAGCTTTCCTTTGCATCCAATCTCCCTGAAATATAGACTTCATCTTCATGGTACCAAAGCTTAATGATTCTAAAGCATTTTTTGTTCCACAAAAATATCTTTTTCTATAATATCATACTTAAATGAAATGTTAAGTTATAAAACAGGATTTTTGCATGCTTTACAAAAGAAAACTGGGATGGTAGTTGTTGTGTTAAGTTACTTAAAAAAACATTGTTTTACTAGATCCCTCCAATACTGAACTAGTGCTTCTATTTACCTGAAGTTAACTCTTAGAAATCATGCCTTCTATTGGTTCACACAGGTGAGACATTGATGTTTGAATGCCAGCTAGTGGAATACAATGATAACTCACCAAGAATGCCCTCCAATTTAGAAGGGTGGGTCTATCTTTTCTACAATGTTTTTCAAAGGTTCTTGTATACCCTTAAGTTCACTTACCACTTGGAAACACTTATACAACTTACATTGTACTGTCAAGGGATACTGATCACCCACAAAACTTGGGAAGTATACTCATAAGTAACCTGTGATACTGCAAAAACTTCCCAAGACATATATGAAAGGAACTTTATAGCATAATAATCTAGTCAGTGTGCTATGGAAAGGTAAACATCATGAAGCTAAACTAAATCTTTTTAAGTATTTAAAATAATTTTATGATACTTACTTTGAAACCTCTCATCATAAGAGGAACAACAACATCTCTCTCTTTTTCTGACAGTTTGGTACTCACACCTAACAGCATTAACATGTTATCACATTCTGTCACTCCCATAGCATATAGGTCACTAACAACATTGGCACAGGCAATCTTGCCCTACAAAAAACTTGCCAGTTAGATGAATTGGCCAGATGATTATGTCAACTGTAAATAATTTAACATACTTAGAATGCTCTAGTTAACACACAAATTTGCAACTCATAACTTGCTATTTAACATATAGGATAGCACGCAAGTTTTAAGGTAAACTAAATATCTGAGGTAAAATTAAAAGTTTAGTTTTATTTATTTACCAATAAGAAATGCCAAGAAAAAAGTAAAATATTTTAAAAATAAAAATGTATAATTTAAACTACATTCAAGAGAGAGAGAAATGGTGGACATAATATTTTTATATTAATTTTGGAAGTGTAAACTTAAAATTTTCATAATTTAATTTGTAAAAATTTCCCTTCAGTTTAAACCTTATTTTCAAAGGTATTTATTACTACCTTTTTATCATTTTAAAGACTTCATTTATGTGTGTGTGTGTGTGTGTGTGTGTGTGTGTTTGTACGCAGTTCATCTTGATAGAATGTCACTCAGATAATTCAAAATAACACTCATAAGAATTTCATTTCTCTGCTAGAAAACATTCAGAGATTTAAGTTATTTACATGTAAGCAACAACAAAACAAGAGACACAGAGACAAGATATATTTCTAAGCATGATGCATTACTAAACAAAAAAAATACATGAAAGCAAATTTTAAACAATGTACCACAGAAAGTAAATTTTACTAACATTATCCACATGAATACAATTCATGAGGTATGTTTCATTATATGAATTATTATCTGTGTAATGAAATGTGAAACTGAAATAATGCAAACTATCCTAGAGAAAACTATGTACCATGATGTATGGATCTTCCACAAGAGGATAAAAGAAATCAGTTGTCTGTACTAAAGATAATCCACCATGTCTTAAGGGGGTAACGCTGCAGTCCATGCCAATTCCTAGACCAAATGATACAAATAATTAGAATGAGCATCTGTTCTATTGATTTACAATAGTGATACTGTTGGTTAAGTACCGACTTTTTTCAGTCAAGTTATCACACTTAATGAAATAATAGATACCTTAAAATTTATGCATATCCCATTAACCAATTACATAAAAAATTACCTCATTTGATCACTTTATTAATCATGCAACAGAAAATTATATTCTTAACAGAAATGAAACTGCACTATGTATGAAAAACTAATAAAAATATTATTTGGTCACTACCTTTATCTGGGGTTAAAAATTGTTGACTTGTATATTTCATAAACAATCATAGACAGAAACATATATATATAAACACATCAATGGAACTTGTTAAATGTTTAGCTTCATTAACACTGAATGGGTAAAGATGTCATAGATTGAATAATCTCCAATTTCTCTTTGAATTGCCCAGGATCATATAAAATATATAGCAATGATAAGACCTAAGAAATCACCCTTACTATCAACCAACCACAGCAATGTTTTTGTTCATACAATTCCAAATGGAAAAATATTGCCAGGTTTCTATCTTGTACACAGCACAAATAAATACATTTTCATATCAGTTATTATTAATTTTTATCCTTCCAAGTTTCTTGCATTTAACATTGGTAAATCTTAAAAATAAAATATTTAGTATTAAGCAAGAGTCAAATAGAAACTAATTGCTGATGTCATAACCGAATTTATAGATACAACTCTACACGTAGCTGAAATTAGCATAGGTTGCATGACTTCTATAGTTAAATGTGAAACTTTATAGTCTGTACTGCAAGACTTATAACACACTTAAAGTCTTGATATTAATGTTTACTGGGATGTAATAGCTTTTCAAGCAGTTTTGTTGTCAGTGGGAAAGCAAATGGGATTTTAAGTTGTAGCTACAGGAATAATTAATATATATATATATATCATAGGAGGTTATTTCTTTGTACTGATCTCTGGTTAACCCTCATTTAGAGTACTGTTTAGTTTTCAGCCCTTTACTTTAAGGACATTCAGATATTGGAAAGGGTTCAAAGGAAAGGTGCTAGGATTATTCCTTGGATGGAAGGGGCTGTCATATAAGGGCAAGTTAAAGTCCTTAAATTATTTCCCCTTGAGAAATAAAGGGTTATAGGGACTTGCTTAAAATTTATTCAGAATTATTAAGGAAACAGATAGGTTTAGTGCATCATCTTTTATTTGAGTTAATGGTAAGAATGGTAGGACTAGAGGACATACAATTAAAATTAGGAATGGTAGCAGTCAGATGCAGATTAGGCAATCTTATTTTTCAAACAGGGTGGTCTGCCTCTGGAATAGACTGCCTTCACACATGGTAGGTACTGCAAAAGCTCAAGAGAAAGCTTGAAGAACACTGGCAGTCAGGGCTGAATATGGACAGAATAGATGTTTGATGAAATGAATGGGACAGCCACAAAGGGCCAGATGGCCTTCTTTTCTCCCTCAAACGTTATAACCACAATTACACTGGGATGCCTTCTACTCATTTCCATGCAATGATACATAATCAAAGTGTCAACTTCTTTCATTTAACTAATTATAAAAAGCCAGGAGGAGACACAGATATTAAAACATTTTATTCTATAAATATCACTACTTTCTTTTTTGTATTTTTTTATACAGTTTCTTTTCACAAGATACTTTTACTGTCAGAACAATATTTATTATACTTACCTTCAAATCTGGCCTATAGATAATGGTTGATTTATAACAAGAATAACTTGTTATACCCATTTTGACTTTCCAATAGTGAACATATTAAAATTATTATTACCCTCTATATTTCATACTTTTATTATTATTTTCACACATATTTTCATCTTCATTGTAATGTAATATATGTTTGTATACAGACCCTGAAGTATACAGTAATTTATAATTATTTCCACCACTCCAATTTTCACTCACCCCCAACTGATAACTTTTTAACAACATCATAGAAATCAGATTTCTTATTCAACTTTTATTGCAGTATTTTATCATATGCATTCTGAAAGTCATAATGCACAACTTCAACTGGAGTGGTTAGATGAAAAAAACAAATACCCTAATAAACAACTAATAAGCAACTTAGAAAATACCTTTCTAAACCAATGTTGAAAATTACATAATTTAGTTTATGCATCCCAAAATTATCTGTGGCAATAAGTTCTAACAGCTTGCTATCAACAGAAGTAAAACTAACAGGTCTTCAACTTCCTAGATTTAACCTACACTCAAAAATGAGAACTACATTAACACACTTCACAGTGTTAGGTTATGCCACATTAAAGTCAAAAGCTTTATTTTCTTACAGTTCTACGGAATTTTCTAAACCAAAATTCTCTTCAGTAATCAGCATTAATGATATTGATGGAATTTTATTCCTTGTGAAGTATACTGATCAGTATAGAAATTTAATTTTCTATTTCAGCTAAAATATATATTAAGAAATTTTGAGGCAGTGTTTTTTTTTCTTTAATGGGATGAAGATATTGTTATCTACAGTGCAGAGGCTCTTACATTTTGCAAGAGTCTAGATTTAATGACTTAACTATGTAATGATCAGATTAAAAGGTTGAAAATACAAGCCTTGAATAACAAAGATAATAGATTACTGCTTTGTGGGATAGGTTGTTATATTGACATGAAAGGCTGTATTTAAAGGTGAGGTAACCCTGATGGGCCAAATAGCTAATTATCATCTTGCCTTCTCTGATGTTCTTTTTCTTTGGTGAGTGTAAGCAATTAAATGCACTTATGTTCTACCATCATCACATGGCCATTTCTAGACTGTTAACACTTGAGTCTTCTTGAAATAATGGACATATACAAAACAAGATTTCTTGGTCAAGTGGTAGGAAAGAAAGGGAAAAAACAAAGTAGCAGAGTGAAGCAGAACAAAGTGATAAACATTTCATTTTGCTGATGAAAACTGAATGAGACAGAGGAACAATATCACAGGTAGTTGGCCAGTCTTTTTAAAAGAACAAGCAGATTTAGCTGTACAAGACAGAGCAATAGAAAGGAGTCAAATGAGGACTACTAGGATAATGTCTAGGATGAAAAGTGTCATATGAGGACAGGTTAAGATCTCTGAAATTGTTTTCTCTTGAAAAAAAGAAGAGTCAGATGGGATCTGATTGTGGTGTTTAAGATTATTAAAATAATTTATACTGTCAATGAACAGTCTTTTTTTCATACTTAATGATAAGAATTGTAGAACATGGGGACACACAGATTTTGCCAGTAAAGAAGTTATCTTCAGCTAGGACAGTTTTTTTTTTAACTGGGTGGTTGACCCTGGAAATGGCTTGCCTTCAGATGTAACGGAGAGGTACATTTAAGGATGTTAATGGGAAGGCTGTATAAGAATATAAATAATAAGGACTAGCTTTGAGGGTGTTTTTTTCTCTGTATCATTTAATATTTAGTTAGTGGATGGGACAGCCTTTATGATCCAACATACCCTTAATTGTCCTTAACCTACTGACTGTTGTTGCTCTAAGTGCATGTGGAATTTTTGCAAGCTTATCATCATATATGACACACTCACATTCAACTGCTGGAGGCAGACTATCTTATACAGCAAATCAGCAGTCAGTAGGTTAAATATTATGTTATACTGACATATTTTGACAAAATCCTGTTTGATTTTTGAAATATTTAAAGGGATGTCATTGGACTTGTATTAATTAACAGAAAGTCATGTTGCAGTGCACAGCAAAGATGCTAAGGCCTTGATTAAATTGTAAACTACAAATAGTATGAAGACCTATGTCTGCCCTATTGCTCACCATGCTATATTTTGCCAGTTTCCTATGGTGCTAACTTGCATTCTCCTGGGGCATGCATCTATGATAAAAATTAAGTGCTAAATTAATTTTATTCTGACATTAAATATTCTAAGCCAACACATCATCATAACCACATGGCTGATTCTAACAGTAATAATACTAATAGTACCATTACTACTGAATAATTGGCGTAAAATCTAGCACCAGTAATTTCAATTTCATGACACGAGGTACCGTGCACGTTTTTCAAATCATTAATGAAATGTTAGTAATTCTTTCTTGTAACGTCTATCAGTATCAATCGAATTAGTCGTTAACTAATAAATTGCAAGTTAATACAACGTAGCAGTAACACTAGTCGTACTACCAACAGTGGCAACAACCCTACTACTAGTACTATATCTACTTCTAAGTTCTTGTACTAAAAACTACTGAATAGGCCTAGTGAATATGCTTAATCATTTGTAGTTTCTGATTTTAAATTAATAGATTCAAAACAGCTTAATTTTATGTAACTAATAACTGTTACAACACTAGTTTTAACCTATAATAATTTAACTAAAACAACTAACCAATTCTAGGAATGGCCACGTGCATATATTGGGCTTGTTCGGCATCACCATCGCCGTCCTGTTGAAGTCCCTCTAAGAGTTTGAGCAGAACCTCCTGAGGGACTTTACACCCTCATCCTTTCAAATCAGCAAACTTGGTGAGCCGAAACGCAGAGTCTAAATCATGAGCAACTGGGTCGAAAGGTCGCCGTATGGCAAGAATTGTTGAATTTGCTCCAACTTCAAGCTCTGCTGCTGCAATTGCTACTTGTTGTGGAGTTCCCATAGCAAATGACACAAGAAAATTATAAATTATTGAGAACCGAAGATTGTAATTCGACCCCTGAAGCCAACTCAGTTTAGCCCTTCGTCCTCTCTTTCACTTCAATATGGCTGCTGTTTGTTAAGGTTGAAGAGACAGTGACTGTTCTTATGTGAATTCTTATTGGTGGAGAGCTCCCGCCTCAAAGTCATCTGACTACTGGCGTGCTCGTTGTTTCCGACTGTCTTAAGGGTGACCTGCAGGGAGTGCTCGGAACTCAGACTATGTGCTTTTCGAGTTCACTCGCTTATTCCTGTAGCTAATGGCTTATTCATTGAATTGGATACAATTCACTAGCCTTTGAATTGAATTCGAAGAAAACATGTGTTTACTCATAAAACTGCGCAGTATTTTAATCTCTAGTTAATTAGCTGAGCTTAAAAGTTTATATTCAAGTTATTCTGAATCAATCCAGGAGAAATATTTGGGGACCGTCTACACTGTATTTTATCCAACTTGGTAATTTGTATTATTATTTCATGTCAATTGTATTATCTTACAAAAAGAAAAGGTAAATTATATTTGGATTATCCGACAGTTATGTGAGAGTTTCCAGTTTTTTAGATGACTGAAAACGAAGGATTCATGTATTCAATGGAATTTGAAATATTTTCCTACCAGTGCATTTATCAGTTTAACCCCTATTCCTATTCATTTCCGAAGAAGGTATTAACAAATACTTAAAGGATTGCACCATATTAACAAGAAACAAAACTATAGATTTAGGTATAAAAATGAACGTATATATCATAATGTTATATATATAACATTTATATTAATCCTTGAAATGGTTTTAACATATTGTTACTCTGGTTCAATTAAAACAAAGACGAACAGCCCGTGTATTGATTTCAATAAATGGTTTATTAGCCACTTTTAAATAATATTCCACTTTCCCAAACAATACTGGACTGATGTCTAATTACCCATCTTTCAGGTTACACAATCGAGTTCTTTCGCGGATACTGCATGGCCTGGTTGTTAGAGCGCTCGACACTCAATGTGCGGTTCGCGGGTTTAAATCCCCGTCACAGCACATGCTCACCCTTTTAAAAGTTGGAGCGTTATAAAATGAAGGTCAGTCTCACTATCTGCTGGTAAAAGAATAGCCCAAGAGTGGGTGGTGTTGAACGGGGTTTTAGGCCCAATTTCATCGTGTATGGTATAGCGAACTATGGAACAGAGTGAGTTAGAATCTGCTTATGTTTGTTTGGAATTATGCACAAAGCTACACAATGGGCAAACTGTGCTCTGCCCACCACGGGTATCGAAACCCAGTTTCAAGCGTTGTAAGTCCGCAGACATACCGCTGTGCCACTGGGTCTTCTGCTTATGAGAAAGAACTATGTTTTTTTTTTAATTCACACGGGTTTTTACCGGTTGTGCATTATGAAACTTCTGTAAACAATATAAATAAACGTGTTACCATGTACAACTGATAAAAACTGTCGTTAAGTGGATCATTATTTAATTTCTGTAGTGCGTTTTGGTGTATAGAAGACATTAATATTCGAAATAAACGACCTTATAACATCAAAATATTATCATTTAATTAGATACTCAACGTTTGAAGCTTTGTACTGTCACTTTTGGTTTGTGTTTGAGTGAACGCTCCTGAGGAAGCTTTAAAGCGAAACGTTGAGTGTCTAATTAAATAATAACGACATTTTGGTGTTACAAGGTCGTTTATTTCTAGTATTAATATGTCGTAACGTGGCTGTTTGTTTGCAAAATTGTGTAGGAAAACAGCTCTTGGTACTTTGTAAGCTGCCGTGATAACTAAGTTTTGTCTGGCTTGTAACTTGCATTTTATGTGTGTAGGTACAATGTTAAGCCATGCTAGGCAAGTCGTATTATATATCTCGACGTATGTATGTTTAGTATATTTTTTATAATGTTTCGTGTCGACGTGTCTTACATGTTGGAGTACTTCTGTCAGTTATTCCTGCAGGTTCCTTACATAGTTAGTACTGTTGTCTGGCAGGCCTGCATCCAGTGGTTTCCCATTGATCAAATCCACTGGTAATTGAAGTTCTTATTATGGTTGGTGTATAACCTGTAGCTTCATGTACAGAAGTTCTGTAAGCCAGAAGTAGTGCTAGTAATTTCATATCCCAGTTGGTATGATTTTATTCACTAAACTTGGCAAACTGCCTGCCTAATGTCTTGTTGAAAGGCTTTATTGTCTCATCTGATTGGGGTTGTAATGGTGTTGTTCTGGTTTTCTTTTTGTCCAGTAATTCACAGCATTCCTTAAATACTGTTGATGACTCAAAGTTTCTCCGTTGTCAGAGTGAAGTTTCATGGGTAAGCTAAATCTCATGAAGAATTTATCAACCGACACTTTTGCTACTATGACTGTCCTTAGTTTGGAATTTCATAATATCCTTGTCACTTTTAAAAAATAATCCATAGCTAGCAGTATATACTTGTTTCCAGTATCAGTTTTTTTTTCAAATGGTCCCATGATGTCAACTGCTGTTCTCTCCATTGGTGCTTCAATCTGGTACTGTGTGAATGTTGCTCTCCTCTGTTTAGACGGCCCCATTTTTGCAGCACATTTTACGTGTACAGTACCATTCCTCAACATGTCTTCTCATGACACACCAGTAAAAATTTCTCAAAGTCAAGCAAGTGTTTTCTTCGTTCCGAGATGTCCACCTGAGATGCTAGCACGTGACTCTCGCAAAATTGTGAATAACTGATTAGCAATATTCTTTTGTGCCATTCGTGTTTTCCCACCTTCTTTGCAGTATACCAGACTGTAGATGTAACATCTTCTGATAAGTCCAGAAGATTTGGTCCGGACCTTGTGTAAGATTTCTTCTCCCATGCTGGTAACTGTTCCATGTATGTAATAATGGGTCTCATATTTCTCTATTCATGGTGTTCTGATCCAGTATCTGGATCACTATTCCTGGAAGCAGCAGCTTATCAACGCTTCTAAAATTGTTCTTTCTTCTCACAATGGCTGTAATTTTCTGATCAAGGTCGTCAACTAAGGCTGTCCGCGTGATATTCAGTCTGGTACTGGTATTGGTTCAGCTTTCCAATCAATCTGGCTAATTGTCCCTCAGTTATTTGAAGAGTATGAAGCCAGTGTAAAGCAGCATGATATGTCCAAATCAAGAATGGTTGTCCATACAAATAATGGTGAAAATTATATAAAGCATTCATCACAGCTAACAGTTTTTCTAGTAACACAATATTTACATTCAGGATTGCTCAATGTTCTGTATAATATACTATATCTCTTTCTTATCCTTTTTTGTGATGATGCAGCTCCTGTTTCATAATTACTGACACAAATATTAGATTATTATTGAAGTAGATTATGTGTCAGTCTTTGGCATTTTTCAGATAACGATATTAGATTTTGCCTTAAACTCCAGTTTCACACGCACAAACACAAACACAGTAAGTATTTGCATGTGTTTTGCTTGTTGTTAACTCTGTTTGTGATTTGTATATTTTTGTGTGTAGTCCTTTTCTACATGATAGAACTCAGATTGAGTCAGGGATATATAAAATCGTACTCCATATTAAAATATTCGTCAGATCTCTTGTTTCTGAGGGCCCTATCCATTTATTCTAAGGGAAATAATTGTATCTGAGAATATCATTGTGCTTATCGGGGTGAACTGTGAACCTGAGAGCCCTCAGTTCGCATCCCGTTGTCATAAAATCACGTGATGCACTTTTAGGCGCACTATAAGAGTGATGGTCAAATCCCACTATTCGATTAGAGTAACCAAGAAATTGGTGGTTGGTGCTGTTTGTTAGCTGCATCTCCTGCTGATTATAGGTTTAAATTAGGGACGGCCAGCGCAGATATTCTTTTTCTAATGTTGCGTTAATATCCGAATCTGAGGGTCTAAAACACACGTTCAGACTTAATTTCGTATATTAGAACATAATATACATAATGCAACATAAAGGCCTTCTAATACCTGTGTATGTTGATAAACTTTTTTTTTTTCAAGTACACCATTTGTAAGATTATGGCAAGCCAAAATATGGAGGATCGATTAAAAAACTGAATGAAAACGTGCACGCCTAGTCTTCTGGCAGAAAACAAAAGTAGCTTTTCGCAAAATTCAAAAACAAACAAAGAATGCAAAAATATACTTTTTTTAGTAAAAAACAAACAAAAAAACGTTCTTAAAGTCAACCAAATATACATTGTAATAACTTGTAAACTCAACTTACAACTTGACGAAGTATTTTGTAGTACTATTACTGTGTTGCATGCAATTACGTCATCAATCGAATTCCATTGAAATTATTTATAGAACCGCCACTGTTAATGGTGTGGAATAAGTGTAAGTGTAAGATTCAATTCAAAACAAAACTTTTAAGGTTAATTGAACCTTACAATGTATTGGAAGAATCTTCTGAAACATATTCAAAATCAATAATAATATACTGGAGTTTTGGTAATGGTATTTTCGGCCTTAATGATATCTTATGGACTAAAAGACAAGGTCAGAGACTCCAGTATATAGTTGTGTTCACTAATGTAGAACTGTTATCTAGAGGAAGAACAAATAACAAGTAGTGCCCGTCTCCTGTTCGTAACCGAATAACAGGATTGATTGTACTTTTATATTATAATAACAGATGAAAGTGTGGAGTCTGTTCAGTGGCATATTGCAGTCTCAAACCTTTGACCTCTCAATCCGCACCTAACACTCTAGAGTTCTGTCAACATATCGTGAATGTGCAAACCCTCATAAACACAGAAAAGGGGAGGAGGGGAAACGGGGAAGAAAGATTCCCATAAAAAAGAATCACTGGAATTATAAAGTGTTTATTATAAATGTGGAATGTCCATTATAACAATTGTTTTACTTTTAATGGATAAATTATTTTAAGTATCGAATAGACCTACCACTTTTTAGGGATATCACTCTTTTGTTGATAAGTCTTATGAAATTCAAACATTAATTCTTCATTTTGTTTGTTTGTTTCTAGTTAAGCACAAAGGGCTATCTGTGCTCTGCCCACTACATGTATCGAAACCCGGTTTCTACCGTTGTAAGTCCGCAGACATAACGCTGTGCTACTGGGGGGCTAATTCTTCATGTTTGCACATGTTTACTTTTTTCATTAAGTTTT